TTTTTTTTTTTTTTTTTTTAAATTGCATTGATATTCTTAACTTGTAATGCATACCTTAGTATTTCTATAAGGATTTATTTTCTTTTGGTTTTGAAAGAATTTTTATGCATCAGAATTATAAACTGTAATTACAATTTTGCACATAATAATATATAAAATAAAATGACTTTTATGTACCTTCTCAATCACCTTCATGGATTTTATATTCTGATATGATATGCTGTATGAATTCACTTTCCACATGAATTTATGGATTTGTCTTCAACCGGATTCTATAACTAAATTATATTAACAAAATATGCTTGGAGTACTAAATATAAAATTTCCCAATGAAATTGATACTCACGTTTCCAATATTATAGATCAAGAGTCCTTTTTCTTTGATATAATTATTCTTTTTTTTTTTTTAACAATTTTTCCATTATAAATATAACAAACATAAGTTTGTCTGTTCATTACAAAACCACTTCTCCTTTTGTGATAGTATGAATGGAGATCTTTGTATTCCAAACTGTTCACTTAAATACTCTGTTACGTCTATCTCATCCTTTCTCGTTGATAACAATCACAAGACTTGTAGACTTGTAGTTAATGGATTCCGTAGGAATACAGTTTTTGACAAGCTCAACAGCTATAGTTGGAATTGCCACGAGTTTAGCTATATCTTTCAATAATCTCTTAAAATAATGCATAACCTTAAACTTTTCTTTAATTTGTGTTTTGATTACTTTTGATCTGTCATCCCATTTAGGACGAAAGTACCTTTATCATCATGCTTGAAATTATTATTTTATCTCCGTGTCCGATATTGCAGTGACAGTGTCTTGTTTGTATTACCTAGTTTATATTCCAGTCCTCAATGAGATAGAAAATGTTGTCACTTGATTTGCAGACAAACTTTCCAGAATATGATGGCTCTGAAAAAATTGTTATCCGGAGGTACAGTGATTTTGTTTGGTTAAGAGATCGTCTTTTTGAAAAGTACAAGGGTATCTTCATCCCCCCTCTTCCAGAGAAGAGCACTGTGGGTAATGTGTTGCACATCTGTTTTCCCTCTCTGCATCATTAGTTGTTTTATTTCCAAATTGGTGACATTTTATGTTTTTGTATTAGAATTAAGGATGCAGCAAAATTTCATTTTCCTGGTGTTTTTGTTGTTCTACAAAAATATGTTTTCTGAGTTGAACTCCCATCAATCAAACTTTATTGCCATCATTTAATTTCATGGAAGAAAATTGGTGTAGTAATCTATTTATGACTTTTTTTTTTAAAAAAAATTCTGGTTGATTAGTCTATTGGAGGTATAAATTTGACCTACTTCAGTACGACCATAAAAAAGACATGGCCAATAGCTTCCACATGTAAGATTTAATGATATGTTTTGGTAGTCCTTCGTGTCTATCAAGTGTTTTGTGCACCCGCTAATTCATATCATTAGCCGACTGTTGGGTGAATCTGGATTTTCATGGTGGCATTTTAGTATTATTACTATTACTATTATTATCTATTGCAAGTTGCAAGCTTCTTGATGCAGCATTGCATTTAATACTGGGCATTATCCTGGGTGCAGAGAAGTTCAGATTTAGTGCTGAATTCATTGAGATGAGGCGCCAAGCACTGGATGTTTTTGTCAACCGGATAGCTTCACATCATGAACTTCAGAAAAGTGATGATTTTAGAATATTCTTGCAAGCTGACGAACAGGTAATTGTGTAAGATGGAACTTTAGTTGAACCAAAATCTGGCTTGAACATCTGAAACTTCTGTTCTGGAGGCATTGAGTCAAACTTTAGTGGTTATAAGTGAGGTGGTGATGTATCAACCATGTACTTTATGTAGAATGGTTGCCACAAGTTCAAGATTAAGAGTTTAATCAACTCTATTCGTGTCTCATTATTACGAGAAAGTATATTATGGAACGTGGGTGGGTGGGGTGGTATTCAATTGCTCAATGCTCAATATATTCTGAATGATAGCACAAAATGAGATGGTTTACTGCTTATCTATGGCTGGTTCTGATATTATGTAGAGCATTTTGTTTTTTATTATATAGATTGATAAATCTTGCCGTTCTTTAGTTGGTTAGCCACTTCATAGCTATTATTTTCTTCCGTTGCTGCTATGTTTAAAAGGATTAAGTCATTTCATTGTGACAGAAGAAATTAACACTCTAACAAAATCTTGATTTTAATTGAACTTATTTCATGCTTTTTACACGATACCTGTGCATGTGCATCACAATATGGGAAATGTGTGTGTGTGTGTGTGTGCATGTGCATGTGTGTCCTTTTTATTTTTACCGTGATCTTGTACCTTAGTCTGATTGAGTATAATGTTTCTGCTTCATCTGCAGACAATGGATAGAGCAAGATTCCAGGAAACTGGTATTTTCAAGAAGAAGCCGGCAGATTTGATGCAAATTTTCAAGGTATCTTATTTGCAATATAAGAATCAGTCAGTATCAAAGTTGAATGAAGTAGCTCTGAAAATGCTGGATTCAGTTTTATACATTGAATTGCCACCATAAAATGCCACCATCTTATAGAATTTCAACATTATTTTTCTCTAGCTGAAGGATGTCATGGTTTCTATGCATTGTAACATCAGTAATTATTTAAGCGCTGTTGGGCAGATACGCTTATCACGGTGGTAAAATATTTCATGTTTGCAGGACGTACAGTCCAAAGTAAGTGATGTTGTTCTTGGGAAGGAAAAACCAGTTGAAGAATCAAGCCCGGAGTTTGAAAAGTTAAGGAATTACATTTTTCAGCTCGAAGATCACCTGGCTGAAGCGCAGAAGCATGCTTACCGTCTCGTGAAGAGACACAGGGGTATATCCAAACTTTAAGCACTTGGTACTAAATGTGGTGTTTGTGGAAATTATAGCTTATTTTGACTTTCCTGCCTGAGTTGGAAGTCATTAGCAAGAAATTATCTGATTTTTTAATCGTCACGTCTGTTCCACCAAATCTTTTCACCTCTTCTGTTATTTCTTTACCATTTTAATTTTCAAATCATTTATTGAAAATATAGTAAACATGATATGCAATCTTTGTAATTTATTACAGAACTGGGACAATCTTTATCAGACTTCGGCAAGGCAGTCAAGCTGCTAGCCAACTGTGAAGGAAATGCTCTTGGAAAGGCATTTTCTGAGCTTGGTGCAAAATCAGAGTTATTGTCAATTAAGCTGCAAAAAGAGGTACGGTTTAGTGTATTCTGAAATGCTACCATCATTTGTATTGTTAATAAGCCCTCGTCCATCCTGCTCTGCTTTTAGGCTCACCACCTCCTGATGAATTTTGAAGAACCTCTAAAAGATTATGTTCGGGCAGTGCAATCTATAAAGGTGAGTTGATGCCTTCCTTAATCTACAGAAGCACTGCATTTGTTTTTGGAGGTACCTAACACAGTTGGCAGACTTGCGTCCTATCTTTCTAGTCATCTGCTATAGACTCCATAGAAAAATGAATATTATGTGATTAGTGGCATGGAGAAGGTTCAAGTGGTTGCTTTTTGGAGGTACCTAACACAGTTGGCAGACTTGCGTCCTATCTTTCTAGTCATCTGCTATAGACTCCATAGAAAAATGAATATTATGTGAAAAATGAATATTATGTGATTAGTGGCATGGAGAAGGTTCAAGTGGTTGCTTTGTGGGGGAAAAGATTATTGTCGATGTTAGAATTATTTTCTCTGTTAATGAAAATGATGGAGCCTGTTATTTCTTGGACAGGCAACGATGGGTGAGAGAGCAAATGCGTTCAAGCATCATTATGAACTGGCTGAAGCAATCAAATTCAAGGAAATCGACATGTACAGTCCTTGAAGTCTTAGCTTATTCTGCGTGCTGAAGCCTTTGAATATATATCAATATATAAAATAAACCTTTGATTCAACATCCTTTTGGTATTGTCAAAAATGCATTTTTAGTATTGTTGGTTTAACTCTATAGCAATTTTATTCCCAAGGTTCCAACTTTTCGCCTTTTGGTCCATGATTTAATATTTTTCTCAATTTTAGTCCTTCGAAATAAATTTAAATTACATTACTTGAATTGCAATAAAATTTTAAATTATAGGACTTAAGTAGCTAATAAAAAATCTGTTAATTTGGGAATTTGTTTCAATTTCAGTCCTTCAAATGGCAGCACAAAATATTAAATTACAGGTTTGTTAGTCTTATCATAACTCTGCATACTCATTTTCCAGGAATAAGCTCAGATTAACACGATCGGAAAAATTGGTCGAAGCGGAGCGTGAATATGAAGAGGTTGTTCAATCACCATGAAATTTTTCGTTTTCACTTCTAGAATTGTTATTATCGGTTGATCTACATCTTCTGTTTTTCTCTGATGCAGCTAAAAGCTGATGGGGCTGAGGCAGCCAGGAGATTTGACAAAATCGTGAAGTTAATGAATGAGGAGACTATTCGGTTCCAAGAGCAGAAAACACTCGACATGGGACTGGCCTTCCATGAATTCGCCAAGGGTCAGGCACGCCTTGCGAACGATATTGCCGAGGCATGGCGAAGCCTTCTTCCCAAGATTGAAGCTTGCTCTTCCGCACAGTGAATTGAAGAACTTCCACAGGTAATGCTTTTCGTATGAGAAATTTCAAGCAGATTTTGAGGGTTCTGTATACTGTACAGACTGCGGATGGATATGATTATATGAACAGCGAATTTATGCACTTGGAACTTTAGACCTATTATACGCTTATTAGATGATGGATTCAATGATTATGGATCGGAACTTGTCCGATTCAACTATGAAGAGACTTTATCAATATTTGGTGTTTGTACAATACACTTCTTTCTTCTCCTTCCGTAGCCTATAGGGGATTCAGTATATATGGATATTGTGTTCCTTTTTTCAACACTGAAAACAGAACATTCCCATTCGAGTTGAAATTTTTGTGGAAATAAGACAACTCTTATGTTTAATCATGTTGGATGAATAACTTGACCTTTATAAAAAGATGAACCTTTTACAATACACAAATTTTTGTGTGACGGTTAATCATTAGACTGGTTGATCCGTCATACTCTTATGAATAAAAATGTATACTTGTACTATCAAATGTCATATTTCTTCACTTTTTTAATGAATATTTTTAAAATATGACATTTTTATTGAAAGTTAGAATAATATTTGTGAAAAGAGTATAATAATCTGGTGTGTTTAAATTAATATTTATAAGTACCGATTAATTAAGAGACTAAATCTCTCTTGTATATAATTCTCGATTGTGCTGAACAAGAGTGGTAGACTAGTATGCTTCGATAGTGGCGAAACCAGGATCCCATTTCGGGGATGGCCCAATTTGCTTTTAAAAAAAAATTTCACGACAAAACTAAACACAAACACAAATTTTCTCTGATTCAGCTTTCCCTGCATGGCTCCATGCCTCCCTGCTCAGCTGCTCTGTGTTTTCTGATTCTGAATTTCCGGTGGCACCCCTCCGGCCATCCCGCGACGCACCAGCCCCACTCCGGCATCGGAAGGGCGCTCAAAGGGCGCCCTTCCAGTTCAAGCAAAAACTCCCACTCCTAGTTCGAAATTTTTTTTTTTGGGAAGGGCCGGCGCCTGTCCGAGGCACATGGTGGTTTCGCCCCTGTGCTTCGAGATCCAATGTGGCAAATTTTTTAAGCTTTGTTGTTTGACTTGAATAAATTTTAATTCATTTCCAATAAAAAAGTAATAGATTTGGAATATGTATAAATATACTAGATATTTATGATTTTTTAAGAGCATTGATTATGTTTTAATATTATTTTATATTGTAGACGTGGTTTATAAGCTATTTGTTTTTTCAAACTTTTTTTTCCTCATATTTCTTTTAAAAGTATAAAAAATTTACTAACTTAAATTATAAATATGTTTAAAAGTTAATATTTTTTTTTTTATTTATTAACAATTATATCTATAATATCAAATTAACAATGTCTTGATGAGCTGCAATTGGACATCTAAATTATGCATACAAAATAAATAAATAATTTTATTTATTTTTACAATTAAAATCAAATCAAATAGTAATATAAATAAAAAAAAATTATTTAAACTAATTTCACTACAAAGTAGTTATATGATATAAATTGAAAAAAAAATATATATATAATATAAGATGGTAACTGACGATATCTATTTTAAATATCAATAATAATTTATCTTTTAAAAAAAAAGTATTTAAAAACTAAAACAATTTTTTTTTTTTTTTATTATTATTT